CCTGATCCCTGTTCTATCCTGTGCCAACCTTGTAGTTTCTGACACACCTACCATCATTTCCCCAGTCACTGAATCAATCCATCTCATCAAAGGTCTTCCTCTCTTGCACTGTTCCTCCACCTTCTCAAGTACGATGGCTCTCTCCAAGGACTGGTCCCTACTTGCAGCATACTTGCAGTATGTCAGACAAAGTCTCAGGAGGTGGGATATACTCAAGATACTATTTTGATTCTAGATAACATTATGGACTTTTAAAATTTTCTTTTTTAAAGGCCTCAGTTTGAATTTGCTTATGAGCTGTTGATGGTCTGGTGCATAGGTTGGCCCCGATCTTGTTCTGATTGAAGATACTGAGTTTTTCCCCTTTTTACACAGTTGTAGTTGACTTGATTCCTGTCTACTCCTTTGGGTGCCATCCATGTATATAATTACAATTTGGGGGGGGGGGAACACCACAGTTTATGTTCCATTTTTTTTCCTGTTTTTTTTTAAAGAAATAATGTATTTGCAATGAATTAATCATTGGTCATACAAAATTCTATCATGTGCTCTCCAGTCTAGTTTCTGTCACAAAGGCCGTATTTTCCAACTGCCAGTTGTTTTTTATTTCCAACTTTTGCCATCACTTATCTGTCAGTTATACTTTGTTGGTTTGCATTTTGCTCTGATGCTGGAATCTTTGCCACTGGTGTTTCAAATACCAGCTGGTTCATCTGACATGGACAGGCTTCAGAAGAGCCCCCAGACTTACACAGACTAGATAGGAAACAGGCCTGCCCAACTACTTCTAAAACATTGGGTCCTTGAGATCCCTATGAATAGTCTGAGAACATTGTCTGATATAGTGCCGTAAGATGAGACCCTCAGGTTTGAAGGCGCTCGAATTCAGACTGGAAAAGAGCAGGTAGATTCCTCCAACTGAGTCTCTCTTAATAATGCATGCAGAGTAAACTTTTAGCCAATGCCTTTCACTTGTAAATGTGGCATAATTCAAAATGAGGAAAAACAGCTGCAAATAGCTGTTAATTATTGGAATGTGAAATATAGAGGTATGAATCTAGGAAAATTGCAAGTTACTAAAATTGAAATGGAATGCATAATGATCAATAACCTAGGCATTAGTCAGCTGAAATGGACTGATTTGGCCATTTTGAATTGGGCAGTCATCTGGTTTAATCTGCCATCTGACAAGTCCATTCATCGTGAAGAGAACATCCTTAAGTGCAGTGATGTCATATTGATGGTTTAATATCCATACACATACACAACAACCACTAACGCCCCAATTGAAGAAAGGATTACTGCTCAGTGGTGCAGCCTGGAATGGATCAAACAATGGCACATAACAACAGCATTTACCTTGACCCAAAGGCTTAAGAGCTTAGCTGCTGTGCAAGAGGTTGACTCCTCAAACCCAACCATTAAAAGAGGAAGACCTAAACTAAAAGTCTACCTCTATACAGATTAAATAAACCCAAAAAATTATGTCCATTGCCCTCCAATCAGTCATAGCCTGCTACAAGCCATCCAATCCTGTTTTATATGCCTCTTAAGGGAAAAAGGCTTTTGAAGACTATTACCATTCCTTTCTACATTATATGTGAAAGGAATACACAGGTGCCAAATTTTGAGCCTAAACTTTCAGAACCTTTGCAAATATTTATTGGTTGAATGGACTTAGTATTTGTATAGTTATCAACCATATCCTCTTTCATAGTTTTTTGATGAGGAAAGATATTCACAAAAAATAGATAACTGATGACATTTGCCAAGGAAAATTATTCTATAATCTTAAAATTTAAGAACCTAAAGATGGCTTAGTAAGAATGTGCACAAGGCTCTACATCTCCTGGAGCCACCCTTTACCTGGCAAAGATCCATGCCATTTGCTGCCACGTCAGAAAGAAGCACAGCTATCATTGGCAATGTGCCCCTCTCAGCTGGCAGTTTCCCTTCTTTATGACTACTATAGCTACTGTGTCTTTGCTGAACTCAAAGCTTTAAGGAAATGAAAAGTACTTCCTCATAGTTTAATGTTTGCCAAACTCTTGCTATTCAAATATGATAAAACTTTAGTTATTTAGTATCTTTTCTGTCTAAAACTAAGAGGATTTTTTTCCCTTTATTGCTTTAACATAAATCTTCATTTGTCTCCTTATTTCATTCTTCTTACACTTTCCCCCAGTATCAGGAAATAAATATGTCAGGTGTTTTGAAAGGAGATGGTCATACCCTCCCCCATTCCCTTCTCCATCTCCACTTTTTTGTTGGTTTATACAAACCTCATTTTAAAATAATCTATAGAGTCATCTACTAAGTACCTACCACTTGAGAAGTATAGAGTTGTTAGACTTATTTTTGGTCTCCATATGTGGAACTTTTTTTGATCACTGGCCACTGGCTCTGACTTTGACATTTTCATCTATAAAAATCTTGGTCTAATGCAGTCATACCACTGTGCTGTATAGACTAATAGCTGGCATTATATCATGCTATTCAATCCACTACTGTAGCTTTCCCTGCCCTAGTACATATGATTGTTGGGAATATCTTCAAGTATGATGAAAAGAGAACCAAAATCTTACAGGGATAAACTTGGCTTTTGCTGAAGATAAATGTTAAGCTGAGTTATTTGACAGTAGAGATTTTTAGCTCATATAAAGAGTTTATAAATGTATGTAGTTCATAAAGGAGCCCTACACATATAGCCCTTAACGTTTACATTTTTAGTGCCTTTTAAACTTAGAATCCCGTTAATGTAAAGTATAAGAAGGCTAGGGAAGAATGAAGGGAACATTCATACTAATACATGATGGGAGATGAAAATCATCCAGAAGTGTTCAGATAATTGTACTAAAAAGTACAAGGGGAAGATACTCTGGACTAACATCTCTTTCCTCTGGAAGTTGCACAATGTCAGAGTTGGCAAAGGTAGAGGGGTTTTATCTGTAGTCACCCAATACCACTAGATAATCATTGTACATATTAATAAAGCAAAACAGATTCTTAAAAATAGTCTGTCACATTCACCAAGATCCAGGTAGGACTATCTTCTGCAGTTAAAAATCTAGTTCTAAGGGGAGCTCTGGTGGTCTAGTGGCAAGAAGCTGCACTGCAGTCCCAGAGGCCCAAGGTTCGAATCCACCAGATGCTCTGCCGGGGAAGGAGGGACAATCTCCTCCTGTACTAGTCAGATCTGATTTGACGGTACACTCACTCAAATAATAATAATTAAAAAAAAATCTAGCTCTAAAATTGCTCATGGCAAATTCCTAAGAGTTTCTTCTAAAAGTTGAACTTAATGTTGTTGTTGTTATATCCCGTCGAGGTGGAACCGACCCGTAACTGACTCTCTGGTAGGTTTTCAGAGGCAGTTAATCACATAGGAGGAGATTGCCCATCCTCCTGCTGAGCAGCTGGTGGATTTGAACTGTGTGCCTTTGGAATTGCAGTGCAGCTTCTTACCATTAGACCACAGGAGCTCGCTGAATTTCATAAGGACTCGTATATAATTTGACTTCAACCTACCACTTTTAGAGATAGAAGCAACTTCCTCTTATCCCTTGGGCACCAAAGCCACTGTCGTCAGATTTTTCTGAAATTCAAGAAGCTGTGCTGCAGTCTTGAAGGCACACAGTTTGAGGCCATCGGCTATTCTGCAGAAGGATGGGCAGTGTTCTCTTGTGTGATTTACTGCCTCTGAAAACCTTCTGGAGGCGCAGCTATGGGCCATTTCCAATTCAGCGGTACACGACAGCAATAAGTGTGTCTGCATGAGCTGTGGCTGCATAGTCCACAGGGAATTGTACTGCTAGCCCCACGGACTCACTTGTCTGGCAGTGCAAATTCACCAGCAGTTCTGCAGGGGTGAGGTGGCAGTCTCATCCAGGGTGAGTTACACTCTGGGAAACCTTTGGGAGGGTCAGCTAGGAGTCAGTTCCAGTTTGATGACAGTGAGTGAGAGGGTGAGGGAGAGATGGAAGGAGGGGGTATTCGCTTTTCCCCCTTATTATAAACATAGCCATGAAATATCTATATATCTGTTATTACTCTGTTAGATATGTCTCTAAGATAAATACATGTTAATTTAAACAAATTATTATACCACATTCATTATTATTTCTTGGTTTTGGAAACTATACATTATACACATCTTTCCATGTCAATACATCTCATTTTTCTGCATCTTATTTCATTGGATGATAGAATCCCCTCTTCCTTCATTGATGAATTTAAGTGATTCCTAATTTTTTACAGTTAAAAATGTTGGGGTAAATATCATCTTGTAAATCTTTCCTGTGTGTTTAAGAATTTCTGTAGGGTCAAGTTTTGCTGAGCAGAAGTGTGTGCTCCTGCAACACTTTGATATATGCTGTCACATGACCCTCCAAACAGCCAGGACCAATCTATAAGCCCACTACCAGCATATGAAGGTTTATTATTCCCATATCCTCAACAACATAGTCACTTGTTTATGATCCAGGGAACATGAGCTCTGAGTAGTAAATCTCCAGGTTATTTTCTACTGTCTTTGCTTTATGGCTTCTCAGATAGCCTTCTGAGATTTCTTTTTCATAGTTTCCCTTTTATTGATTCCAAACCTGTTCAGGTGTAGGATGTGCATTTTATCAAAAGAGGACATCCTTTCTTTCTTTTTAAAACTACCATTAAATCCCTTTAAGAAGTTACTTTATCATCCATTACTAAATACTTCTACCCTTGATTGTTTCATTCAGACCTATCAAATCTTTAGTCAACAGCTTCCTCTGCCATTGGGAGTTCAAAGCATATGGATGTTTAATCTCTCATTCCCATTGCTAAAATTTATGTCTGATTGATCACTTTTGAGATAACCCCTTGAGTTTTACCAAATACCTTGCATTGATTAGTAATTGAACAGTAATTTACAAGATATTAATGGAAATTTGTTAATTTAAAAAAAAACACCATATCATGGGTTCTGCACCTTATTTATATACTCATCTCTTGTTTGCCTGCAGGTGGATTCACCAATGAACTTGAAACATCCCCATGATTTAGTCATTTTAATGAGACAAGAAACAACAGTTAACTACCTCAAAGAATTAGAGGTGAGGCAACCGGGCAGGTGATGTGAAGCTGCAACTTGTTGTATTTCACAGAAGCTACTGAGTCAGCCTGAGTCAGAACCACCCAGACAACAGTGGGTTTGGTTGGTTGCTTTTAAATATGTCCAAAGAAAAGTTAAAGCATAGTATTTATTAAGTCTGCTTTATCTGACTTTTATAGGAATGTTTTATTTTCAGATCACATTGTTTTAAAAATTATTTAATGTGTGACATTTAGTAAAAGTAGCAAACTGACAGTGACCTGGGTTTTTTTAAGTCTTCCTTTAGATCCACTGTATCATTGAACAAAGTTTCAGTGTTTTTCCATCAGATATGTGACTGTAATCTCTGGGGATATTTTTGTAGAGTTCCAGTAAAATATAAAACAGAAGAAAGATTTTGGTACTGTAAGAAAATAATTGTTCATTCTCAGGCACAGAAAGCTGGGATCTTGCTCTTGTGTGGTCATAGGGGTTGAGGAGAAAAGTTGACCTGTTTGTAAGTGCTAAAAATCAGAAAATGTTACTTAATAAGCAAACATATCATGAGTTTTATATTCTCTATCATTGATTATCATAAACTGATTTTGCTAATAACAAACACTGTTTGCAAACTTTGTTGGTTTTCCCCTATAAAATCTCAAAGTTGTAAAACTTTAAGGGATTGTAAGTGCTAGAGAAAGTACATTTGCAAAATAAGAATAGAAAACTACTGGGAATAACAGGAATAGAATCAGAATCTTTGAGACTTGGAAGGAATCATTACTATTATCCTCACTAAATGCAGAGAAACAATTTCAGACCATTGGATGGTATGACTTTTCCAAATTCACAAAGCAAATATGGCCAAACTAGAAACAGCATACATAGCTCTTTACCTAAAAGCTTCTATACCTGTTAAATGAAGTTGCCATTAATTTTCTACTTGTAAAAACCCCAAATCTTACTTAAATAGATTCAAACTAGTACATCTATCGGCATAAGTATATCTATAAATGGAGTTATAAGTATTTGCTTTAATTTTTCCAGAAATTAAGCAGGAACTATGTAGAGTGTGTGTGTGTGTGTGTGTGTATATATATATATAAAAATATACACACACGCACACACACACACATATATATATAGAGAGAGAGAGAGAGGATCCAGTTCAGTCTCTATCAAGATCCTAACTTCTTCAATACTCATTAAATTCTGCTTTTTCTTAAGTGGTATCTACACTAAAGTCTCAGGATGATCTATTCTTACTTTTATCTCAATAGAAACAGTTAGTTGCTCAAAAAATTCACATAGAAGAAAATGAAGACAGAGATACAGGACTGGAACAGAGACATAATAAAGAGGATCCAGACTGTATCAAAGCCAAGGTGCCTTTAGGGGACCTGGATCTGTATGATGGCACATACATAACTCTGGAGAGCAAAGATATCAGGTAAGGAATGATGATTTTCCCCAAAAATCCTTTCTAAAATCAGTAAGAAATTATTTCCATAATAAAAGTAAACTGTAGTCACAACTGAGTTTATTGACATTTTCATGTTTAATACATATACTGCATGCATAATTCTTACAGATCAATTAAAAAAGAAAACCTTAATACAATAGTAGAGAAGACTATATTCTTTTTTTTTT